CACCCACCCCACCCCCTCAAAAACAAAGAAACTTAAATCAATGGGGATTAAGTGCCTAAGTCCTTGGTAACTGGATTCTTCTCTGCTTAAGGCCTTATAACGTTCTGAGGACTCCTTTGAGGAGGACTGAGGACTCCTAGAAAGAATGTTTTTCTGTGTGTGTATTTTATGCTATTTCAAATTTCTAGTCAAAAGCTGTCATTTCAATTGTTTCCCATTAGTAAATTCACCCTCTTTTTTTTTTTTTCCTGATTTGGGAAGTTTCTCTTTAGAGAGAAGAAACCTCACATGTGTAAACATATATTAAGAATTTTAAACTGAAAGAGAGAGAGTTTAGATTAGATATAAGGAAGGAATTGTTGACTGTGAGGGTGATGAGGCCCTGGCACAGGTTGCCCAGAGAAGCTGTGGCTACCCCTGGATCCCTGGAAGTGTCCAAGGCCAGGTTGGACGGGGCTTGGAGCAACCTGGACTAGTGGAAGGTGTCCCTGCCCAGGGCAGGGTTGTGGAATTAAATGATCTTTAAGGTCCCTTCCAACCCAAGCTACCTCATGATTCTAGGAAGTATTACCTGAGTTTTTATCTTAGGGTCAAATCTTAAATATTTTTATTTAATATATCCCAGCAATTTGTAGTTTGAGTGTCCAACTGTGATACGTGCTTGAAATGTTAATCTTTTTGCTCTTTAATCCATCAAGACATAACTGGTGGCATTACTGTCCACATCCCCCAAGTTCCCATTTTTTGATCCCTTTTTCATGTGACGTTCTTTGCAGAACTGACTGGGACTTTCTCTCCTAATGCTCACTGCCTTATTCTCCAGAACTCAATTTCACAGCACGTTGGAGGAGACACAATTTAACTGCACTGGGGAAAGCTTTCTTTTCATCCCTTTCAATTAAATTAATACCTGTTTGGGAGTGCTCTGCAGGTGTAAACTGGAGTTGGGTTGCAGGGCACTCGAAATGGGAAATGGTGAACACGGTGCTCCTTGGTAAACTTTTGTTACAGACACTGCCAGGCTTTATAAAGTTTAGCAATCTGTTAGAGTCATTCATCTCCTGCCGTGACTTTACCTTCCAGTGTCAGGATTAGACGTTTCATTCTTTACTAGGCTAGTAAAGTAGCACGGAGACATTTTGGTTCTAAAATTGTTACATAGCCACAGAAAACATCATTTTGGTGGGCATTTAACCTCTCTGAGCTCAATTATAGCTGTGAAGTGACAATGATAAACCAGCCCTAAACAGTGCTTAGAACAGTACAACATGATGCTATCACAAACAGCAACTGGACTGTGCACCATAAACTGACTAAATTGACTGAACTGCAAAGACATAAAACCTGCCTTGTGCTACACCACTCATTGCTTTTAAAAATATTTGCAGGTTTTGATGTTTTCATTCTATATATTTTTTTTTTTTTTGTTGGTCACACTGGAAATTTTATTAATTTTTTTACCTTTATGTTGATTAATAAAGTTTTCTCTGTGACAAAATGAATTAAGCAAGACCTTAATTTAATGTGCTTCCCCCTCTAACAAATGAAGTTTCATGTGGTGGAAACTACCCACGCTTTGAGTCCACCTCTAGCTTAAAAATCCAATGTGTGTGGGGGGGGTAAAAATCCTGAAGCATTGTCTTATGAGTAATAGCTTTTGTCGTAATATTTACATCAGGATGCAGCATAAATGAAGGCACTGCAGAGACATTCGTTAGTGCAGGTACCTGCACGAGCTCTCGTGCTGGTTTTAGAATAAAACACGACGTGCTTTTGCTGCTTTTTTAATGAGCATTGAAATTCCAGCCACAGACTTCTCCCATTCCCTCCCAGGCTGATGTTACCTGTGTGGGACGGTGAAATCCCTGGATGCAAAGCCATCACTTTGGCTGGACTTTGTTGCACCGTGCAGAGGAACACACGAGATTAGTTTTCCAGTAGTTATTTACCCTGATGAATGGCCCTAATTGGATCAAACAGACTGGTAGTGGGGAGCCAATCCTTTCAAATGTCTCGTCTTGTGCCATTAATATTACCTTGTCATGTATCCATTTGAGCTGTTGGATGAATGTCTTGCCTTCACACTCCTGTCACATTTAACAAATGATTTTGTCAAGTCATTCTTTAGAGCTTGTGCTGAAGGATGGCAAAATTTGTGGTCTCCTGCGTGCATAAAACCCATTAACTACACCTTCCAACTTCAATGCAAGGGCATCCTAAAACTCAGATAACAAATTTCTAAAGAAATTATAATGCCTGTTTACAAGAGGGGGCAGAAATATGCTCCTGATATCTATGATTAACACAGCAGAGGGAAATAGAATTCATTAATTTTGTATTTATCAAACCTGTGACAGTCGGAATTCGGATTTACTTTTTTTCAGCTGCTGCAATTACAAACCCCAGAAGGCAGCACACAGTTGCCATTAGAAATGAGATACCTATTTAATTAATTCATTTTGATTCAGATAAAACTCTAGTGCATATTTACTGGGTGAAACTCCAAATTGCTGGTTCGCTGATGCTCTTGCTGTCCTTTTTATTGATTTGTAGACTGAAGATATTTAACACTGATGAAAATAAGCTGCCTCCTTGAACATCCTGAGATTTTCTTAGAATTCCACGGGGAATATTGTTATAGCCAGATCTATACCACCACATTAACTGTGATTAAAAGTTGAATTGAATAAAACCCTTTATGGAACGATGCAAACAGAAAACCATCAGTGTTCATTTAGCACTTAAAGTAAGTTTTTTTCAGTGCAGTGGACTGTAGGTTTTACTGACACATTGAACTTGAGCAAGTGGATTTTCTTAAGGCTTTTTCACTGAGTAGGAGATGGAAACCACGTGGGGTTTTCAAAATCTTTGTGTGTTCCTTTGGAAATGCCACCACTTGGCCTGTTTTGGAACTATGGGCGTCAAAGTCTGGCTACAGGCACACGAGTGAGGCATCTGAGTTCAGAGCAGACATCTGCAAAAGGTGATCAAACACATTTGTGAGGCACCTTCTCTGGCAGTATCTCCCCCTTAATGCTGGCTAAATAATGAAGGTGAAACCCTTCATTTAGTGGGGAATCACAGAATGTCCCGAGTCGGGAGGATCATTGAGTGCCACTCCTGGTTGTCCAGCACAGGACAACCCCAAGAATCTCACCGTGTGTCTGAATTTTTAAGTTGGAGGATTGATGGACACAGTGGTTAGAAATCTATCAGCCACAGAATGCAGGGTGCTGTGCTGGTGCACTGTTCTCTGACTCTTATCATCTTAGAATATGGGGGGGGTTTGCAATGTTTTGATGTATTTGAAGCAATATTAGTGTTTATATGGAGAAAACTCTTCACGGATAGGGATCTCATTGTGTGAGGTGCTCTGCGAACAGACCCAAAGGATGGTCTGAAAGGGCTTTTAATGTAAGAATAAAATACGAGTCAGCAAGTGGATAGCAGCAGATTGAGGAGAGGAAAAAAAAGAAAGAGTACAAGATGTAAATGTAATAGGTGGTGGCAAACACACACACACCAGATTCCTAACTCCTGGCAGGTCTCTGATAGGTTCCTCTTCTTTTCTTTTTGTCTTTTTCCTCTGCCTGTTTGCTTTTGTTACTGGCTTAGCTATTTTGAGTTCCTTTAATCATTTTGGAAGTGGAGAAAAACTTTCTGGGTAGAATCTGAGTCGAATTCATTTTCCAGGGGGATCGGGAACTGCTGGGTTTAATGCACTGACTGCCGTAGTTGTGAGAGAAATAAAAGGGAACCCCTCACACAAACACATATATGATATTCTGCTCTGCTTGTTTTTACTGCACCGCTCAGGGCTTGAATGGAAATTCAGTGAAGTTGGCTTTGCCCTTATTCAAATAGGGCTGAGAATTGCTGCCATCAAGCAGCAAACACACCTCGGTGTATTTACAGTTCCTAACAATATACAGTTCTCAGGATGATTGGGTGTTTTGATGACACCTTGTCTAGCTAAAGCTTTCTTGTCTGGACTGCAAAATAGAGAAAATTACCTTTCTGGATGTTTCATCTGACTAAAAGTGCATGATTTAAGGAGACTAATGGCTACCCAGGCCTGCAGGCTGAATAGCTCCCAGCTTGTGTTCCAGTCCACAGTATTTCATTCTTAACAACCAAAAAGCTGGAGAAGGCATACTCAAAATGTTTCTGATCCACAATCCCACAGAGCAATTATGCTTCCAGGAAGAATTATTTAAGATTTCAGTCATCTTTCTGGCTGTCTTTCAGATTTTGGTGAAGTTTGACACTAATGAGTGGTTATTAATAAGGTAGAGAAGAAGTTAGTGGCATCATTCTTACAGTAATATTGTTCCAAACAGATGTTTTCATAAAGTAACAGGTGTTAAATCTTCAGTAACTTGTAGGATGTGGGTTTTTTTTCCCTTTGTAATAAATTATGGTATGTTTTCTAATCTGCCTGGAAAATGCTTAAAAGGGTTTTATGTTTATACGTGCTGAAAGTATTTGAAAAAGAATATGAAGCACAAGGCACCTGATACACGAAATATTAATTATTGCATAGAATAGTATTCAGTGCAGGAATTAGAGAAGGCTTAGAAATATTCAGGCTAATATCTTTTATGGTTGCTTGGAGCTAAGCTCCTTAATCCATATTTGGCTTTTAAGTGAGCTGAACTGTTTTTTTCAAGTAGCGGGGGGAGCTTTCAGTTCTCATCAATCTGTGATGTGTTCTGCAGGTAATCACCATCATCCTGCACAGATCCAGTCAGTCCAGTAGGATTAGGTTCATGCCAGCATGAATCCCAGGAGGCTTTGGCAGAGCCTAAGGCCTTTAGGTGTTTAATTTTGTGTGCTTGCTGGACATATTTAACTTGGAAAAAAGGAAGTAAAAAATTCAAAGCTTCTGTATATTGCTGTGAGATGTGACACATCGATGCTCAAACGTGAATAGCCAAGAATGGTGGGAATGGGTATGGATAACTCTCCTTGATTTACTGGTCTGCTTTCTCTTGTCACAGCTGCGGAAGGCAGTGATGGATCACATATCAGATTCCTTCCTGGAGACCAATGTCCCGTTGCTGGTTCTCATCGAGGCTGCAAAAAGCGGGAACGAGAAGGAAGTGAAGGAATACGCTCAGGTCTTCCGTGAACACGCCAACAAGTTAGTGGAGGTAAGTGACCTTAATGACCCAGCCAGAATTCCAGCTTCCCTCTCTAGGAGAGGCGAGAAAAAATGATGAAATGTTGCAGTTATGGATTCAGGAGTTTTGGTCAACTTTGTCCCAGTGATGGCACAGGAAATGCCTGCATGACTGGAAAGCACGTGCTGGGGTTTAGCAGCTCATTAAAGCAGGTGAGCCTGTTAAAAGTGGTATTTCCAGTATTTTTCCAAAAAGCCTGAGCAACAAGAAGTAAATGTCAGTTCAGCTTTGCTAACTATACATTTGATCTTAATCCCTGTTAAATAAAAAGCCAAAAAGGGGCTTCACAGTTCTGTATCTGGTCCCGGTCAAAGGCTGCTCCTGCCTTGTCAGTCTGAACTAAAACAGGGAAAATTACATATAGAGAAATCATAGCCCTAAGAACACATATAGTCTAGAAAGGTCTGTATATCCTGTATAAATATATATATATTTATAGTATCTTCTCTTTCTGAAGAGACATGCTGTGTAAAGTCAACCAGTGGTAATTTCAAGTCTTCAGGGATGATATTGAAATAGCTTTATTTATGTATAAATAAATTTAAATACAATAAATTTGTTTGTCTGTTTATTTATTATTTATTTATTTATTTATTTATGGCCATGGGGAATATAAAATGTAATGACTGAAACCTTGGATTCACATCGAATGGACTTTTATTAAAATGATACTGTTCACCTCACTCTGCCCTTGAACAGATCAAGGACTATGAAAAAATGTTTATATTTCTTCAAGACAAATATAACTCAGTGCTTTCCTTGATAACATTGTGTGGCATTAATGACTTTTCTGTGCTAGCATTATTTTGAAGAGTGTGCAAAACACTTTCTAGCGTTCTCCAGCAAAGGAAAATGCTGTTAGGGAACTACTGCTTTAACAAGTATTGAACTGCACCTTTGAATATCTTCTGTTCTTAAAACAGGCCTCATCCTAATTCTGCAGTGCCTGAGCTGAGGGAAGGAATAAGGGTTTCTTAGTTACTATTGACTAAAGCTTTGTTACTGCCTCCTTGAAACTGGAGCTGTGGCAATGAAAAAGGAAATGGGCAGTAAGGATATACAGGGAAAAAAAAACCAAACAAACTGAAAACCCCTCCACAACATTCACAGTTCTTTTATAGTGTCAGTCAGAGTTCTGGTCTTGTATGCAATGAACAAATGGGGTTAGTATTGCAACAGTCACTTCCTCCACCGATTTGGAACAAAGTTTTGCAATGACAGGTTTAATAGCATTATTAAAAAGTTAAAAATAACTAAGTAGATATTTTAAAATCATCATAGGAGGTAATGACATGAAAGGAGGAAAAATACATTTAGGATGTGTTAAAAAAAAAAAAAACAACAACAAAAAGCAAAAAGCCAACAAAAAACCCACAAAAAATAACCCCCCCCAAAAAAAAACCTCACCAGGAAAACCCAAACCACCTTTAACTGGAAGAAATAAAAAACATAATGGTGTTAAACTGACAGAGGGCAGGTTGAGTTCAGATCTTAGGAGAAAATTCTTCCCTGTGACGGTGGAGAGAACCTGGCACAGGTTGCCCAGAGAAGCTGTGGCTGCCCCATCCCTGGAAGTGTCCAAGCCAGGTTGGATGGGGCTTGGAGCAATCTGGGCTGGTGGAAGGTGTCCCTGCCCATGGCAGGGGATTGGAATGAGATGGACTTTAAGGTCCCTTCCAACCCAAACTGTGCTGTGGTTCTGTGATTCTGTGAAATCCAACCAAAGAGCAGTTTTTATTCTCTAGCTTCGGTTTTACAAGCCTGACATTACATTAGACTCATATTTTACATCAACCTGAAGTTTGGTAAATGATTTTCAATATTATGTGATCATCTTTAGGTACCCCACCAACAAAGCAATGATGATAGTAACAATAGATGTCTTGGGCTTAATATCTAATTTTTTTATTCCATTTAGGTTATTCCTGACTATTAGAAGCCGATTCTTAATTGATTCTTGGATGTTTGGGACAGCTGGTGCGAGTTTCTGGGTGCATCCATATTCTTTTCCAAGGATGGGGGTTTTTAGGGGGATCTTGCCCTTTTAGTTGTAAGGACTATTTCGGGTTCAGGTGAAAAGTGTCTTGAAGAAATTATTTCCAGCACAAGTGAAACTTTGAAACCCAGATTTCAAGTTCATGAGGCTGCACAAGGAAATAAGTATTTGGAGTAGAGTTATGCCCCTTCTCCACTAGATTTTACACTTAAAATAGTTCCATCATTTTTACTTATTGATGCCCAATGGGATCTCAGCAGATGGGCTTCTGTGGCTTTGTGGGTCAAGTATTTTGCAAATAGTAAAATGTGGTTTAAAGATGAGACATAATCAAGTGACTATGAAATGTAAGATACTTTCCCAGGCACAGGGCCAGAATTCCTTGCTAATATATGCAAACACAGCTCCACTGAAGTATGTGGAGTTGCACTTACTCATGTCAGAGGAATTTGGCACTGCAAATTCAACACTGTGAAAACTCTGTAGTATTAATCAATTTTAAAATCAGAATCTGAATTTCTTGGATGTCTTACCAAGCTCAGTAGAAAGCCTATCAAAAGGTCAGGAAAAAATAATCCGTGTTTTAATACTTCTTTACACAGAACCTACGTTTTTAACATCCTGAGGAAAAAAAAAGAAAAAGCAGTTCTTGATATTTGATGAATACAAATGGCAAAATTTTCTTTGCATGGCCAATGCATTTTTAAAAAATACCTGCTGTAAGCAGGAGGTTTATGGAGGTTAACTTTATTCTATAGTCCCTGTTGCAGAATACTCAAGTCTTCTCTCAAAAGCTGTTTTCATTAGATATATATATATATGTTTTCCCTTCCCTGCCTTTTATAATATCATTAATAACCACACAGATGAATTGTCATTTCTCTGGGCATTCACTGACAATCAGGTTTGTCTGTGGATTTTGTTGGAAACACAGAGCAAGGTGGTATTTTACTATGACGGAAATCATCCAAAGGAAATCAGATTTATTTTACCTGTCACACAGATTCTGGGCGTTAAAGAGAATAATAAAGTAGAATTTAGATGATGCCACTCCAGGCTTGGAGGGCTGACTCTTTTCCTTCCAATCATTTCTCAGCAGTCACCTCTCAGTTTTTCTCTGCCTTCGGAAACTGAGGTTAGAGAAGTGATGGCACCTACTCCAGGCCATGATCTTTGCCTCATGAATCCCTTTAATGTTTTCTTTTAAAAAAATTCTCTCTTAATGGCTGAAAGTCAGGAAATGCCCGAGTTGTAATGCCAGCTTCAGGTGTGACCTTGGGAAGTCATTTAACTTCTCTATCCAGGCACCTTCATCTGTAGCACAAGGTTAATGACAGATACTTCACACACCTACCACACAAAGGCACTTGACTGATAAATCAGCTCGGATTTATTCACTGCATCTATCAAAGCACTATATGGCAGCTAATTAATTAATGTTCATCATTTTGGTTAGTAAAGCTTCCTTGGTTTAACTGTTAGTCCTCTGGAGTGTTTCTTGCAAAATTAAATTATTAAATCCAACAAGTTTTCCTGGCAGATGAAATTCAGCATCCTGTAAACTCTCAAGAGCGACAATAGCAGGCTGTTCAGTTGAAATTCAGATTACAGGGACTTATATATCCACTAATTATAGTGGATTGGGTCAGACTTTCCATCCTCACAAGGATGCACATGAGTCCAAGGGAGTTCTACTTGTTACTTCAGTTTTGGGGAGTTTTAATATTTTTATTGAAGGACTTCACCATTTGGTGGTGGGTGAACATTTTACAAGAGTTCAATCCAGTAGCATTATTTTACCTTGAAACTTATTTCCAACAAAATTGGAATGAAGGGTTTTTTTTGTTCTTCAACATGAACTGATGCAGCATCAAATGTAAAGCATCTAAAAATTAACTTTTGAAAAGATAACAGTTTCCCGGTTTTACATGAAGAGATTTTTATGAAGAATTTTGAGGAGCCTTACATGAATGAGTTTAATCTCATATAAACTTACAGATTCCTGAGACACACCAGATAATCAAAGTTGTCTTCTAAGAACACTTGGCCAGTGAAAGAACTGTGTCAGGCAATGGTTTATGGTGATTTAAAGTTGATCCAGTGCAAGCAAATCAATAATATGATAAGGTTGGATAGTAACCTGTAGCAGATGAAATCCAACAGCACCATTCATTCTGTTTTACAGTCTCTTTGTCCATTCAGGTTGCAGGAGAATTTATTAATGTTCTCCACTTTGAAGAGGATAATGGGGTTACTTTGGGAGTTTAGGGGTTTGTTTGTTTTTTTTTTTCTTTTAAAATCTCAAGGGGAGAAAGAAAAGTGTTTGAGCTTCTATTCAAGATACAATGCAGGCTACTTTTAATTTTCCAAGAACTATTATTTGGAGCTGCCCAATTTAATCTAGATTTCCGCTAGCATTATCAGAACTAATATCCAGCCCAGTATTTCTTTTTTCTTTCCAGAAATATCTCTCAGAAAAGCACAGAGAGCATTTGGTTCATAAGAAACACAAAACTAGACTCTCTCTTAGGGAGTGAAAAATCATCTGCTGCAATCCTGCAATGCACTTGAGGTCGATGGAGTGCTGAGGGTTCACAGTGTGGCACTCAAGCTCACTTCCAGGAGGCACTGGTGGACTTCATAAGGACCAGATGACAGTGTTTTATCTGTGCTTTTGTAAAAATTTTCTAAATTCTAAATGATTTTAATTAAAGACAGACAAAACCCGGAGGAAGAAGCCTAAGGAAAAAAAAAAATTTTGGCTCATTTATTTCTGCAACTTTAGTTCAAGGAACAAAGAGTTTTTCTGCTGATGTATTTCACAGATACTTGATTTATCAGAGTATACAACTAGGTTTTTGCTTCTGATTATGAAGAAAAAGTGTCAATATTCTTTCATAGCTTCTGTATCCAACTTCCCAAAAATGTATATATCCCTGGGCTTCCTGTGATCAGCTTTTACTGCCATGTTTTT